TACCGGCCGTCTCGAAAAGCTAAATATAAACGTAAAGGTGATGCTCTTTTAACAGACATTCTTGCTTTTTTTTAATTACTCTGGACTGTTGCTCTACTTTTATCCGTCCTCACAAGCACACACAAGCTCACACTGATGTACAGATCAAATGGGAACGGACAAGTTTGATAGTTTCGTGAGCATATACAACAAAGGAGGAGTAGCCTTTTAGTTTTATTGACATCTCCAAACTTGAGATTGACTCAAGAATGCATTCTTACCGTCCAGTGACATAACAAATGCAAACTTGCGCAGAAAAGTTGGGTTTCGAGCAATCTCTTGTTTCATAATTGTTGAGAGATTCGAAGGTCAGTTCAACCAAAAGACGAAGGCCGAATCCTCTTGACCAGCTGTCGATTGACTTTACTGGAACATTCATGCTGACGCTGCTGTCGAGGCAATCTCACTCGATTCCGGTGAAAAGGTGCCAAGTTTTCGTCCGTCATGTGACGAACATCATCAGAGCCATGTATCATCATCACAAAAAAACTCAAGCTAACAAGTCAAGAAAGCTTGAATCCTCCAGCAAAGCCAATCGGCAGCTGGTCAAGAGGAATGTGCCTTTGTTTTCTGGTGGAATCGACCTTTGAATCTGTTCAACAAACACTTTTACTCGAAATGGAAGAAAGCGCAACAAATGCAAACTTAACTTATTTTGAAGATATAACGGCCAAGATGTTGTGGCCTCTGGTATGGTCGCAGTCTCCTTTCGATTTGCAGAAGTTGTCGCAACTTGGTCTTGTTGTCAGGGCGACTATGTAGAATGCATCTAGTCCGAAGTCGTCTGTCATAGTAGTTGTCATGATTCCCAGCATTAGACATTGGATTTGGTACCTTCTAAAACATTTCGCCGACATCAATAGTGAGTTTTGCCATTCTCCGCACGAAGCTACGAACTCGTCAAAGAGACAAGTGAAGTTCTGCCGAAAACATTTTCACTATTACTCCTCTTTCTGTACTGGTCTATCTATCTACTCTTCACCCTCTTATCCCACTCTCGCCACATCACAACTTCTCACTTGTGAAAATGGCAAACCGAGTGTGGCCTCATCACACTTGCTATTCACACCGACCCCCTCTCTTTCTATCGGCTAATCCGACTCGGGCCTCCAATCAAGATCCCTTCATTGTCTCGTGGATCAGTTCGTTATCTTTCCGGTTGACTGATTTCCCTTTAACTTATTTTCATTATAACAGAAATAGAGTGTCTCAGGCACTGGGCCAACATTAACCTTGCGGCAAAGCGAAAGGAAAGCCGACCAAGAGGAACTGGTCATCGTATTCTGATGAAATCCAACTACAACGTCTCATCATCGCAGATCTCACTCAAGATGAAAGTCAAGTCAATCTAGGCAGTTCAAGATAATGTAGTCACGTAAACACGAACCAGTGTTTGGCACTGCCTAATTGTAGATATGTATCTTTCAGTATAAAGTCTTGATGGACCTATAAGAGAACCTCACACCCGCATACACACATTTCGTCATTTCACGCTAGTCAAATAGTAAATATAAATATAAATATAAATATACATAAAAATGTATATATTTCGTGAGTACTAATAGATTATATATGCGAGATGTATTCATCTTATTTGGTCTTAAGTGATAAGAGGACTGGCAGTTGAATTTTCCCAAAATGCTACCAGCAGAAATATCATTCCTACTCATGAAACGGTTGATAAATTCAACTACCAGTCTTCTTACCACCCTTAAATGAAATAGGATGAATACATGTCACATATATGATCTACATCTTATTAAAGCAGTTTTATGGGAAAAAAATATATACGGCACGGTAACTGGGACCTTTTTCATCGTAGCCGAACACGGTCAACTTGAAGATCACATTAAAAGCAAACTACAAAAGAGCAAGCGAACCCACTATTCTCTTCCAATCGACTTACAATGTGTCATCATCAATGACTCAAACTTAAAATAAAATGCAAGTCAATTCCGAATCCACTTACGGGCACGAATGTTCCATGGCGAAATAGAACTGGCCATAAGGGCAGAAGTGTTTGCTCTCTTTCGAATATTCGGGACTATTCATTTGGTTATGTATGATCGCACACGCACACCCACGCACTGACGTACACATCTCTAAATGACGCTATTTGAGTAATTTTACGGATATATGTATATATATATATATATATACATATATATATATGTATATTTAAAGTGTGAATGCTTATACAATGGCGCGAAATAAAAAATTGAGCACCACTTTACTTCAGCCGTCAACTGGAATGTTCCAGCAAAAGTTAACCCCCCCAAACCAATGGAAACCCATCGACGTCGTCTGAAGAGATCGAGTGAAGCATGCCTTAATTCAACTCGGTCAGTTGAAATGAACTGAACCGGTTAATCAACATTCTATCCTCATCTCCGCTGTGCTCTGTTGCATCTTCAGGCCCACTCTCGAATCATACGTTCTGTATCTTAGTCTGATCCCATACAGCCCACATGGCCCAAGTGTGTCGCGTTCAAGTGGGTTTTATAAAACGTGATCGCCTTCAGCACTGATCGGCAGTTCTGTCCCATCTGCCCTTAAAAGCATACTCGTCGTATGACGACTCGAAACAAGAACGGAGGCAGGTGAAAGCGACAGGAGGACGAGAAGAGAGAGAGAGAGAGATAGAGATAGAAAGAAAACACACAAGTGGTACCGATCAGGGCGAAGTTACTCTCACGCATCAAACTGTACCCACAATGATTCGCTTAAAATGGTGACGAACTGGCAGTTGGATTTTCCCAAAAAGCATTCACATCCCAACTCAAATGGCTTGCAACCTCGAGCTCGCCCAGCTCAAGTCCCGCAAAAGGGGCTGGCGCGATCAGGTGCGGCGAGCTCGAAATTGGCATAGCTTTTGTGAAATCGTCTGATTGTGAGACAGTTCACTTGCCAATCTTACACGAGCCTAAATGAAATGTGAAGAATATGGCAGTTTTGTTGGAAAAGTTGCATGTCTACACGACGGCGAGAAGAGCCGAAGCTGACGGCGACGAGGTTGGACGGACTAACCTCGGCGAGACATTGACCTCCAGCAACCAAGGGCGCAGATTTTCGTCGAGGATGACGTCGAATCCGAAGATTTCGTGAATCGACCTCTGCACTCGACAATTGGCGTTGACAGCCGACACTAACGAGGCCTCTGTGGAGAGTATCGTCTTCACGACGAGGTCTTTGATGTCGGCCCAGACGAGCTCGGCGTCCACGCCTTGAGTACGAAAGAAGTTCCAAAGTGCCTGCAAACTCCTGCGGAATGGGAGGAGGAGAGTGAAGGATGTATGATTTGAAGGGTGGGAAAAGAGAGAGGACAACCAACCAACCAACCAACCGAGAGACGCAAACGGCCAGAGTGACCTACAGCTCCGTCGCAATCGTTGCACCTGACTTGGACGTGATTTTTTTCTTGTAACTATCCCTTGGCGATGGACAACTAAGACACACTAAATCATTAGCCCCTCACAACCGATTCTAAAAGTATAGCATCATTTTTCAACTTGTCTTTAATGTCGGTTGTGTGCACCATAGTTCGTTTTAGTAGAGCAGTGATTCCCAAACTGTGTGCCGCGGCGACGATAATTGTTGTAAAAGGTTCCATTTAAGAAAATGGTCAATGATTTGCAGGCTGATCAATCACATTAATTATTAAATATTAATTTAATGTCAATAAAGTATCAAAAAAAATGAAGATACACGTGTTTTATTTATTTTAATCTCTTACTTACGAGTAGTCATACTTAGGGTGTAAAAATTTTAATTGAAAAAATGCGCCGCGACTAGGAAAGATTTGGAAATAACTGAAGTAGAGTAAGGGATGCTAGTTGGGTTTTCCTAAAACCACATGCTTCCCAAAAGCTATTTCCATTTCAACTGGAATGCAGTTCCAAGCTCGCCTAAACTGATCACATCAGCACCTCTAGCGGGACCCGAACTCAGGTTGCGTATAATTTCTACATGTTACTTAAACTACGTCAGACTGTCACGAGTGCTGTTGGGCAACGGGGCGGATGTGAATTTCCAGCCTCCATCACGCCTCTTACATGTGATATCTTTTATGGGGAAATTGTTAATGTGGCCAATTTGCGTTTTGCCATTAATATCGAGCATACTACTTATACTCACATAAAGTAGTTTTTGAAATCACCAGTAAATATTTTGGGAGATTTGCAGTCGCCCTACTGCCACCTAGGGTGAGCTGAGCTCTATTTCAAGATTTACTTTATATGAATGTGGCTAATTTTTTAATTATTCCTCACCGATCGGCAATAAACTGCCTCCCGTTGACTTACCACTTGTGCCCCTTGGTTGATTTGTCGCTGTTGTTGCTGACGTACTCCGAGTTGAGCCGATTAATTGAATAGTTGGTGAGGTGGATGAAACGGTTGGCCAGGGTTCGATGTGAAATGGAGTATCTGCACAAAAGGTTGGTTTGCAAGCCAATAAATGTAGTCAAGTACGATTATGACATTAAGACAAGAAATCGAGTGAGCTTCTTTTATGTAAGTTGACTTGTTAATTGACGAATTAAGAAACAATTGCCCTGTTTGCTAGTCAGTCAATAAGTAGTCTGTTTGTTAATTTGCTTGCACAAATGAACCTGGCACTCTGACAATTAATATGAATAAAAGGTAAGGTTGCAGGAAACCGTCACTGATTTGTTGTGACATGCATTTGCGTCTCGAAGCAAAAGTTCTTTGGACAAAATTAGCCAATCTGTATGTCGGGAAATGGAATGGTGCAGAGAAGAATGCTGATTTGCGGCAATAACTTGTCGGCACACCATCCAGCCAGGCCAACTAAACTGTGCTAATGTTGGAGTAAGTTTGATTTCGTTTGAAGAGGCGAGTGGAAGGGATTCATAAGTTGGTCGCCACGGCAACTGTATGCGGATTGCTTCGGAGCTGTGAATGTGGATTTGTGCGAATGAGACCTTGGCGCACCGCCACGCAACTCCGATTAACCCTTACTGCCCCATCGCCTAACGAAAATAGGTTGTGTGACCTTGTTTCCGCAACCGGGACATGTTGCTAGGGCGACCTGGAAGAACGCATCTAGTCCGGAGTCCATTGTATTCATGTCCATTTGCAAAGTCGCACCGTCGACGTGGTACATTCACAGACGTCAGTCAGTCTTGTCATTCATAGCAGCACACAACAACTCGTCAAAGAGACAAGTAAAACCGATCCTTTCACCAAACGTGTGCTAACTTGTTGTGGTACCCCTCCTCCTGCCATTGGCTATTCACATTTCCCATATCTTCGTATCACACCTTCACTGTTAGCTATTTTTATTTCCTTGTTTGTTTAAATCTAGTGTGGTGGGATCTTTCGAGCGGCCTTCATGAGAACCCTTCGCACTCCAGACTGGCCTTCTCACCCCCCTTCGCACTTGTGCTGGAAATGTTGATCGCAGTCTGGCATATTGTTACGCAGTCCTCCTTCCCTAGGTCTCTCTCTCTTGCCCCGTAAGATCCGTCTGCTCTCTCGCTGGTTCACCTATTTCACACGACCCCTGCCACCGCATCTTTGCTACTCGAGGCGTTATTTCACACACTCTGCGTCTGAGGGCTACTATCCTCTTTCTGTCTCTAATACGAAGTCTATGACTTCCTGTGCCCCAGTCTCTTCTGTGCCAAAACCCACAAACGTTGTGGTTCAACATTGAACCTAGTCAAAGCAAGCAGTAGCACAACATTTGTGGGCTAGCACACAAGAGACTGGGGCATAGGAAGTCATATACTTGGTATTAATCATAAGCTTGAGCCTCGAATTAGTCAGCCAGACGCAGCACAGATGGGGTGGCAGGGGTCGTGTGAAATAGGTAAACCAGCGAGAGAGCAGACGGATCTTACTTGGCAAGAGGGAGATTGTGATAAGAGCTAGGGAATGAGGATTGCGTAACAATATGGCAGACTGTAATGAACATTCCCAGCACAAGGGTGAAGTGGGTGAGAGCGATAGCGTGGAGTGTGAAGGGTTCTCATGAAGGTTGCTCAAAAGGGCACATCACACGAAAAATGGTGATAGTAAAAGCGTGTTAGGAGGATATAGGAACTGTGAATAGACGAGAGTGCAAAAAGGGAGATACCACAACCGTTTAGCACAAGTTTGGTTAAAGGATCGGCTTCATTTGTCTCTTTGACGAGTTGTTGTGTGGTGCTAAGAATGGCGATACTCACTGACG